TTTTATCACAGTGGCTTTGTAGTATAGTTTCAAATTGGGAATTGTTACACCTGGTGCCATGTGACTGTTGCCTATAATGGCTTTTGCTATTCTAGGTCTCTTGTGGTTCCAAATGAATTTTTGGATTCTTTTTTCTAGTTCTGTGAAATATAGTGTTGGAATTTCAATTGGCATTGCATTGAATGTATATAGCAGTTTCGGTAGTATGGCCATTTTCACTATGTTGATTCTTCCTACCCAGGAGCAGGGGATATCTTTCCATTTTTTTATATCCTCTTCGATTTCTTTTTTCAGAGTGCTGTAGTTTTCAGTGTAGAGATCTTTTGTTTCTTTTGTTAGATTGATTCCTAGATACTTCATTTTTTTGGATGCTATTGTAAAAGGAATTTTTTCCCTTATTTCTCTTTCTGTCTGTCTGTTATTTGTGTATAGAAAGGCTATTGATTTTTGGGTATTCACCTTGTATCCAGATACTTTACTGAATCTGTCAATTAAGTCTAGAAGTTTTTTGGTGGAGTTTTTTTAGATTTTCTTAATTGTGGTTTAATTTTAGGGCAGTAATCAATATAATTAATAAATATGAAGTGTCTCAAAAACAAAACTAAGTTTTCAGTTACTATGTTACACTCTTAAATGATTCGATAATGGTGGGCTGTTTGGGGCTGGGGATGTAGCTCAGTTGTAGAACACTTACCTAGCATGTGCAGAGCTCTGGGTTCAGTACCCAAGGGACCATACATAGGTGTTTTGGCTGAGTGTGGTGCAATGCTTGTAATCTCAGTTTCTCCAGAGGCTGAGGCAAGGATTGCAAGTTTGAGGTCTCACTAGGCAACTTAATGAGATCTTGTCGCAAAATTTAGAAAAAAAGAAGAAAAGGGGGGTTGTGGAGATGTAGCCCAGCATTCCTGGGATTTGGTCTCCAGTACCACACACATAAAAGTAGGTCATTTGTTATTCACAGATGTTTTCAGCTTCAGTCATGTGCTGCATAACACTTTTAGTCAGTCAGTGACAGACTGCATAGATGACAGTGGTCTAGAAAGACTGTCCTACCGACAGTAGAGCTGTCTTCATTTGTGTGAGTACTCTGATATGTGCACAGTGTTGAGGTTACCAAATACAATGCATTTTGTAACATCTCCCCATTGTTGAAGAGTGCATGACTATCTAAAATGATATGCTATGTTTTATATCTTCTCCTTTTTAAGCAACATTTTAAAACTATCATCAGCCTGTAGTCCTAGCCACTTGGGAGGCTGAAGTGGGAAGATCATTAGATCCAGGGATTTCAAGACCAGCCTGGGCAACATAGCAGAGCTGGAGTTCAAGTCACAGTGGCTGGGTTTGGGGTATTCTCAGGACCACAAAACCCATCACTAATTGGGAGCCAGGCAGCAGCCCTGAACAGGGTTATATGAAGATTAAAATGGGGACAGTTCCTGGTATAGAGCAATTTTTTTGCTGGTATTACTATAAAACTACCTTTTACTAGATATAAGTTTGGGCTTATTTTGCTTATTATAACTTGCTTTGATCTTTGGTGTCCACAATCTAACGATGTAAATGTTGGTGCTGGATTATTTTCATCTCATTTTTAAAACACACAACAATTTTAGGTGTCTGTAACCCTCGAGACCTTTCAAGATCTGTCCTTGCCAATTCCTGGCAAGGAAGACCTTGCTAAGCTGCATTCGTCAAGTCATCCAACCTCTATAGTCAAAGCAGGATCATGTGGCGAAGCTTATGCTCCACAAGGCTGGATAGCTTTTTTCATGGAATATGTAAAGAGGTGTGTATTTATTTTCTTTGTTTTGATTGATTCCTGAAACTGCTGTTTCTGCTGTACTGGCAGAACACTTCCTTTTTCTTTCTGTCAATAATGTTTCAGGTTTGTTGTCTCATGTGTCCCTAGCTGGTTTTGGGGTCCAGTAGTAACCTTGCAAGATTGTCTTGCTGCCTTCTTTGCCAGAGATGAACTAAAAGGTAAGAATCATAATCTTTTTGTCTGAATTGCTGTAGGTGAGCCTAAAACTGAATTTTAGGGTAGCTTAAATGGTAGTTGTTCATATGGGCATAGTGCCAGCATCTACTATGCAATAGTAACAGAAGAAGAAAAATTGTATCCTGAAGGAATTGTTACAGATTCCTGTAGTACCAGGCAACATGTCTTAAAGCTGTTCAGGATCCAAAGAAGGCAAAACTCACCCAAAACAATGGGACTTATTTATGCATCTTGAATTGTCTGTGAACTTGTATTCCATTTAAGGTTCTTCACTGTTTTCATGTGTCTAGTATCTTGAACAATCTGGCTGTCAGTAAGTTTTGTTCAGTGGATAAATGAAAGATGTTACTTGAGTTAGCCCTTCATGGTAGAGGGAGGAGGATGGGTGTTTTAGGTAAGGTAAACATGAGCTGACTCTTAAAATAGAACTAAACAAGTGAGCCCTGTTTTACTGTACCAACATGTGGCAAAATCAGAGAATTACAGAACCAAAAGAAAACAGTTTGCTGTTAATGTGAGATGAATGATTTGCTCTGTTCTCTTTGCAGGTGACAATATGTACAGTTGTGAAAAATGTAAAAAGTAAGCGACAAAACTTCTAATTTCATATTTTGTATTTTTCTCAGTTATGAATTGGGCACGTGGAGTTACACATGACACTACATTTAGAAAAATATAGTCCAGAAAACTTTTCCCTAGTAATTAGAAAGAGATTTCATTGTTTTGTAAAACAAATTTGAGGCAAAATTTTTGACAAATGTAATAGATTTATGTAAAATGTTTAGAAATGTGTGTATTTTGAGGCACTGAGTATGTGACTTTGTATTAAACATTTTCTAAAATAAGGCAGTATCTCTTCTAATTACTGTTATTAACAGGCCAGATTCAGGAAGTGGAAGGTACTGTAGTTTCAAATCTTCATAAAATTCAGAAAGGCTACGCCAACTCTGATGCTGTCTGCTATTACAATAGAATAGGACAGTTACACCTGATTTTGTTTTGTATCTACTACAAGCTGCCATTTCTGTCTTGTAATAAATTCATACTTAATTTCTTTTGGTGGTAAGTCATAAAAAATGATTGTCACTTGATAGGGAATTGTTATTATTGTTATTATGGTGCTAGGAACAATCTAGGGCTTCACACATGCTAGGCGAGTGCTCTTGTACTGTGCTACCTCCTCCACCAAAGACCATTTTCTTCCCCTTGGTTTTATTTGAGAAAATGTCTAGCTAGCTATGTGCTTCAGGCTGGCCTTCAGCTCACTTTGTAGTCCAGGCTGGGCTCAAATTCATGGCCATCCTTCTGCTTTAGCCTTCCGAGTGCTGGGATTACAGGTGTGTGTAACCACACCCAGCAGCAGATATTTTTTGCCAGGGAGACCTTGATGTTGCAGCAGTTGGTCTTTTTTATGACAGAAAAGAATGGTACACTATTTGGTCACTGAAGGTGAAAAGTGGCCTGGTACTTTTGGAAATGTGTTAGTTGTCCTTTGAGGCCTCACTGACAACTGAAGAGATTGTTGGCCTGGAGACGGATCCTTCCTTGGAGAAGGCAGTACAGACTACAGAAGAGAAAATAGTGAAGAGGGCAGTCTCCCACAGCCAAAGTCGAGATCTGTCAAATGTACATTTATACTGATTACTAATAATAATAACCATGCTTTATGTCAAGGGTTTCTTCCTCTCCACATTAAGAATAAAGATTTTGAGCTGGGTACAGTGATGTGTGCCCGTGGTCCCAGGTACTTGGGGGGCTGAGGAAGATCGCTTGAGCCCAGATGTTTGCAGCCATGCTGGCAACATAGCAAGATGCTGTCTTAAAGAAAGAAAGGTTTTGGGATACAGTATTGACCTGAACTAAAATTTTATAAAATTTAGGTTTTGCTTTATGCAGTTTTACCTAATATCTGGATGGTATTAAAGGTAGAGTCAGATTATAGACAATAATAGCATATTTGTTTAAAAATGTTTTTTTTTCATCAAACAGTTCCACAATTCCCTAAGTTTGTTTTACAGATATCTTGGTTTAAATTGTTTTTCGGAGTAAAGGACTCCCACGTATAAATATGTGCTATAATTCAGTAGTGACCATTTCTAGTCTAATACCTTTTATCTGCAATAAAAAAATTCTTGTGATATATTTAAATACATATTTTCCTGTCTTCTTTTTCACCCTTAGGTTGAGGAATGGAGTGAAGTTTTGTAAAGTACAAAAATTTCCTGAGGTATGGGCCAATTATATT